GCAGGGTTACAGAAGCAGATGGCAGTTATTAGACAAAAGACTATTCTTTCAGTGTATCACTTCAACTATGTAACTATAATTTAGCTAGCCCCTGGTTTTCTGCTTAGTTCATTTATTAACCCCTTATTGTAAAGCTCTCAGCTCACCACACAATTCCATCCATATTGATGAAATAGTAGGATTTCATTCTTTTTTATGGCTATATAATATTCCATTGCATATATTACCACAGTTTCTTTATCCATTCATCCATTGAGGAACACTTAAATTGATTCCAAATCTTGGTTACTGTGAATAGTGCTTCAATAAACATGGGAGTGTAGATATCTTTTCTGTATACTGATTTCCTTTTTTTTGAATATATACACAGCAGTGGGATTACGGGGTCATATGGTAGCTCTATTTTTGGTTTTGTGAGGAATCTCCATAATGTTCTCCATTGCAGTTGCACTAGTTTACATTCCCACCAACAGTGTATGAGAGTCCCCCTTTCTCCACGTCTATCTGAAATAGACATTTTTTTCTTAATCATCTTAGAAATAAAAAACAAAGCAAACTCACAGTTTAACATGTTTTTAAAGTAATGAATTGTTTAATGGTGTATTGTATTGGGTCTGTAATAGCATAAAAAGTGGAACTCATAGAGCCATTTTCTGTTATGGGCTGTATCTAAGTGGTGTTGGTTAGTGTTTTTATTTAATATTTTTCATAGTGCTCTAGGGAGAAGAAGTTAGACAATGTATCATATCTATTTAAAGCAAATAAAATCATGTATCTGAAATAATAGCATATAGTGTAGAAAGGGACCTTAAGATATCAAGTCCAACACTTAATGCTATCCCTCATCCTCACCCATTTAGCAGATGAGGAAGCTCAGAAATAAGGAGAAAGAATGGAAGTTCCACTAAGGCCAGTCTTTTCTTGCCTGTAGTGTTTGGTGATCTGTCCAACTGTTGAATGAGTTAAGAAGTTTGTCCCAGCTTTGTCCTTTTAAACTTCATTTCTTATGACATAAGAAAATTATAGTAATTTTTCCAACTTTTTATTTTGAAAGTACAAACTTACAGTAAAGTTATAAAAATTGTACAATGAATGCCCGTATGCTAATTACTTTAATTAATTGATTTTTTAACATTTTCTGACATTTGCTTTATCTTCACCATTAAATGCATCATCCCCCTATCTCTTGAGAACAAGAACATCCTCCTGCGTAAATACAACGTAAGGATCTTATTCAGACAGCTTAACTTTTATATAGTGCATTATCATTTAATGTGCAATTCATATTCAAATTTTCCAAGTTATTCTCCAAATGTACTTTATACTGCTAATTCCCCAATTCTGAATCCAATCAAGGATCATTGATTGTATTGAGTTTCCATATTTATTTAGACTCCTGTAATAAAGAGGAGTTACCTAGCCATTAATTAATTTTTAATTTTTTGTCTTCTCATTACATTGCTATTGTCAAAGAAACTCTGTCAGAGGTTTTGCAGAATGCCTCTCAATTCAGAGTTGTTTGGTTTCCTTTTCATGATTAGGTTTAGGTAAAATATTTATGGCAAGAGCACCATGTAGGTGATATTGTATCCTTCACAGTGAATTGCATCAAGAAGCTGGTGATCACAGTTTCTACTATATTTGGTGACAGTAAGGTGTGACCTCTTGGTTAAGGAGGTGTTTGCCAAATTTCTACTTTACTTTGTAAATGTAACTTTTTTTTTGTAATTAACAAGCGATTTGTGTAGGCAATTATTTGAGATTCGAGTATCTTGTTCCTAATCTTTCATGCAATCATTTTAACATAAATCAATTAATCCTGTTTAAAATAATTATTACTATGGTGTTTGAAAAATGATGATTTTCAATCTCTATC